GCATTCCTGAGGTTGAGGGGCCTGATCCAGAATAACTATTTCTGTGTGGAAAATCCTGGGGCACACAAGACTGAGACCCCAAGCCCAGAGACCTTCTGCCACAGGTGGCTGGAGAGTGCGGGAAGCTCCAGGCTGCATGTGCTTTCCTGCCATAAAGAAAATAGATATCCACCAGTGGCAATGCGTAGGGGGTGCATGGGGGGGCATGTAAACCCCCTGAGAGCACTGGTGCACCCCCTGTCAGGTCACCCTCCCCTCTTAGGTGACAGGCAGGCAGGTGTGCCGGTGCCCCCCTGTGAGCACCAGCCAGAGAGGTGGGGTGGGAGCACCACGCTTGGGAGCACCATGGCCACTCCTGGGAGTGTCGTGGTTTCTTCCTGGTCTGTGAGATTGGCTGCGAGGACACCCCGCCCCTCCGCTCATGATGTCCACCAAAATAAAGCAGCACAAACTACAGCTACCTTTTGTAGCAAACACACTGTAGTGTGACATAGAGTACAGATGTCTATCTGCTTTTGCTTTATGCCACCATAAAAATGTTCATGGCATCATAAAGGCAACAAAAGATGATGTCTGTATTGCTGTGCAGGATTGAATAGACACCTAGCAGAAGCCTGTGACCAGTTTTACAGAGCAACGGAAAGCCTTCTCAAAACATATATGTCTTAAGCCAAGCCAAATAGGTTTCCCTTTTGATTGTCTGGATGTTAAAACACTCAGTTTAGGCCTTCTGTTCAGGGGGAGTAATTCCAGAATAACTATTCCCAATCAACTCTCCATGTCAAAACACTTCTTCTGAAGTAAGACTATCCACAGAGGAAATGATCAGGAACACTTTGAATTTATACTCTTGTTCTGTATTAATTTCCACTCGTTCCATTTTGTCAAAACCACAACTTCCCTTTCCAGGGCCAAGCTCAGTAACCAAATATCTCAGCGTTTTTTTTCTGATAAGTCCTTGTTTTCCATCAGTTATCCCACCAGACGGTCTAACACTAGGACCCTGGATAATTACATCATTGTCTGCAAGTGAAACTCCTTTAGGCTTCTTGGCCTGTTGAAAATAGTGAAGGATTGCGAAACTGTTGGACACTCTCAGACGTGCCAAAACCCCATCTCCGCACTGCAGAGCATACAGCTCATTACGCAGTACGGATCGACACTCCCTACTCCTGCCACAGTCATCTATGCAATACCCTGAAGATCTTGAAGAGGACAGGTCTCATGTTGCCTTGAACAGCTATATTGGCATGTGACTGTATCTAGACCCCATGTTTTCTTTTTTAACACGGCACAGTATTATGATTCTAGATCTCATTCATTTACTATAGCCTAAATGTAATGAAAACTCTTTACCATCACCTGTCTCAACACATGATTTTTCATTTAGGGGAAAAGAGGGAGGGAGTTATCAGTAGGGATATGCAAAGCTTCAGGTGGTGATTCGATTTGGAGGAGATTCAACCCAATTCAGTGGCCGGATCTCCAAGTCCGAATTGAATCATGGGACCAATTAAAAGGTCTGAAATGATTCGAAAAATGATTGGAAAAGATTCAGGCAGTCCCTGGTGGCTGCAGCAGGGAGCTGGAGCCGGACTAGGAGCTGGTAAGTAGGGAAGAGGAGTGGGGGCTGGCGGAGGGGAGAGAGCACCATGGGGGGACCCCTGCTAGCCCCCAGCCCCCGCCCGCCCCCCCTCACGTGGCTCCCCACTGGTCCCAGCTCCCGGTGCTTTAAATAAAAGGCCCCCCTCACTGGGTGCTGCTGAGCAGGGGGCGATCCCTTCTGCCCCTGCAATGCCCCACACTGTGCAGGGTGCTCTGCCACGATCCCCCGACCCTGCCTTGCTCCCCCAACCCCCAGGCTGTCCCGCTGGGCCCAGCTCTGGCCCTTTAAGAAAAAAAAAATCGCAGGACTCACCGCTCCTGCAGCAGCCTCAGGGGGTCAGGGGGCTCGTGCAAGAGCCCCCCACACAGTGCGGGGCAGCGAGGGGCAGCTGGGGTCGTCCCCAGCTGGGTAGGAGTGGTGAGTTTGCGGTTTTTCTCATGTTTTGTTCTTAAAAGGCCGGAGCCACGGTGGGTGGGGCAGTCATTGGGGAGGGTGCTGGGGGCTTGTGTAGAGCCCTCCATGTAGCGTGAGTCAGTGCTGAGTCGGGGCCTTCTTTTCTCAAAGTGCGGGAGCTGGGGCAGCCATTGCTGGGCTGCGAGAGGGGCGGGGGATGGGCCTGCCCTGGGGGATTCAGAGATTCGGAGATTCGGAGAGCTGGCAACAGCCAAATCTCCAAATCCAATTTGGCCAAATCTGTTCGGGACAGTGATTCAAATCACCAGATTGAATCACTGTCCCCCAAATCATCTGAATCCGAGTCTGAAGCGAATACTAGCTGCTTCACACAGGCCTAGTTATCAGGGATAACCCTGGAATTTCTGTTTCAGCGGCTTTTTTAATTGTGCACTTTCGTAAGTTTATTGAAACCAAGGTTGTTCCCCTTGTATACTTGTACGTGCTGTTGTCCTGCTATCTAATCCAATACACAAAGGCGGTAACCGGCGCTCTGTGTTCTCCAGGTGAATTCTTTCCTGCCATCCCCTTGTGCTTTTGGATCAAGTTTCCCTGAAGAAGATGCCTTCCTCATTGTGCCAAATCTCCAGAGTCTCCACATCGCTGTCTGGTTTTCTCACATTCTTCATTACTTTTCATATTTCCAAGGTGGAATCAGGTAGGTATCTGTAGGTATCTGCTCCATATTAATGTGTTCTCCTGCTGCTGAAAGGTTTGTTTCGTTTTTTATTGACACATTGCACCACTTCTACTCTTTCCTGACAAATGGAAAAGAAATCGTGAGAAGTTCCAGACTGCATCAACATCATTGTGTGAGAAGAAAAAATAAATACATCTAAAATTAAAAGTTTTCCTTTTTCTCCCCAAGCATAGAGGAGAATAGTTCTTCATCTATCGCCCGATCATTTTTCCATATTTTTGTGTGCTTCTACGTTCCTTGTTCCCACAGTTTCCTAACATCCTCCTTCTCATCTTTCCACTGGCTTTTCAAAACCAATATTGAGGGGGAAAATTCTCTTTTACATGATATTTCAATGATTTGATATTTTTATCTAATCTGAAAATGTGATTAAAACATCAAGGCACCAATCAATTTTATGGGATACAGTGTTCAGAAAAATGTCCAATGAAAAATGTTAAAATTTCTATGACAAGAAAATACATGTTGTATTAATTCAGGATATCCTATTTGTCCTTTTCCCAGTCTAGGCTGAAACTCTGCCAGGTGGGTATCCATCTCATGTTGAAATCTTGGATTTCTCTTTTTTACTTCTGAGCTTATTTTGGGGTACTCTTGGTACATTTTACAGCCCTGTTTACAGTTGTTGGACCTGATCAGCCAGTCACTGCCATTGTGGGGGAAGAGATCATATTGCCATGCCGCCTGTCCCCCAGCATGAGCACTGAGAACATGGAAATGCGGTGGTTCCGGTCTGAGTTCACAAAGTATGTTCATCTGTACCGCGATGGGAGAGATCAGTTTGGAGGACAGATGCCAGAATACAGGACAAGGACAGCATTTTGGAAAGATGGCCTCACACATGGAAATGTTTCCTTGAGGATTCTCAATATTGGGCTTTCAGATGAAGGACAATACACCTGCTTTGTTGATGATGGCATTACTAATGAAGAAGCTGTAATAGCACTGAAGGTAGCAGGTCAGTGGCTTGTGTCAGTTCATCGCTGCATGGTTTTCAGGTTTTTTCTCTTTCCTAATATGGCAACTTCATGGAACCTGTGTATGAATTATTTTACAATTAGTCACTGTATTTCAATTTTATCCAGCTATTTTCACATTTCAGAAACATATTTCAATTTTTGTCAGTATTTTAATAATTTGAAGCAACATCTCAAAAGCAGTTAGTTTTTCTTTGCTCTTGATTTTTCAGTGCTTAGCACCTTGTAATTTCCTGCCTAAATTTATTCACATCCAAGTTATATCCATTTTTTCTTGGACTAACATTTTCTTTTAGCCTAAATAGTGCTTTTTCCTTCATCATATATACTCCTGAATACAGTTACAGATAGCAAACACATCCCTTTCTGCCTCTGTTTTGCTAGACTGAAAAAGCCGAGTCGTTCGGCGCGGGTCGACGTGCTGTCCGACGAGTGCCCCTTCTGCCACCAAAGGGAGACCCTGGCGCACCTGCTCCTCGAGTGCGCCAGGCTGCAGCCCCTGCACCTCCTCCTCCAGAACCTCTTGCTGCGGTTCTGGCTGCACTTTTCCCCGCACCATTTTGTTTACGCGCTCCCCATCCGTCGCCCCACTAAGGCCCGGGACCAACTGGTCAACCTCCTCCTGGCTCTGGCCAAGCTGGTCATCTGGCTATCCAGGAAGGAGGCTCTGGCCGGGAAGGCTCCCGGGGACCTCGGGGCGTTTTTCCTTGGTGTCCTTCGCGGGCGTCTCCGGGCGGAGCACCACTGGGCAGTAGCCGCCGGCAAGCTCAAGCAGTTTGCCAGCCGGTGGGCGCTGTCCGGGGTGCTCTGCTCACTGACCCCCGGGGGAGCACTTGTTTTGAACCTTTGACCCTGCACGCACACCCTGTTTTCTTTTGAGTTGTCCCCCGTAATGTTTGAGTAATGTTCGGGAGCCCAGCCGCCCGATTTTCGTAGAGTGGCGGCCCCCGAAGGAATTTTTTTTTTATAGACCAAGAGTTCCAAGGAAAACCACCTGTCCGGTCACCAGCCGGACGCCGGCACCACCATCGGCCACCTGACGGGGGTGGCCCAAAGACCCGAGTGGACTTTTTCCCTGTTTATCAATAGTCTCCTAAAATAAACCTTTCTCTTTTGAAATCCCAAACCTCAGTTACAGTACTAATTTGCTTCTTTTTTCATTTAATTTGAACTCTGTGAATCTGTAGTCAGTCAGTTCCCAGGATTATTTTCTAGAACCAGCCCTTCTTAGCAAAACCTTGTAACCATTCAGCCTCTAGAGAGACAAGACTTTACCCTGTGATCGGGACCTCTTTTGGGAGTTTACACATGGAATTAAGATACACCTACAAAAAATCCCCTTAATTACCAGCACTCAGTCATGGGGGGCGACCCCCTCCCCTTTTCCCTCCAGCCTTTACTCTATCTTTATAGATAGCTTCTTCTAATAATCTACTAACTGTTCTCTGATTGCCTGTGTTCAAATGTCACAGAAATGTACAATTTGAAGGTAAACTGAACCAGTCCTGTTGTGCACTTGGATGATGTCAACTGGTTGGGATTTATGTTCCTATGAAATGTACACTTCTGGAAAGGGAGGATTTCTTATCCTCTTTCTTTCACCTAATTTAGAGTTTTCACTGACGAGCCTGCTTTGTTTTTACATCTAAGAGGCTTGAACACAAATATCTATTATAAAACAATATTCAATACATTTAGTTACATTATTCATTACTATAAGTTAAAGCAATAATACAATATATTTCAATTACCTACTTTAAGCCCTTGTGCTCTGTTTAATATGATCTGCTTCAACTGGACATGCCATTTGCTTTCTTTCCTTTGCTAGATGTCATGTCTGAAAAAATTCAGTCTGTATTTACTGAGAAACAGGCTTTTGGGACTTTTGCTATAGCCATACTTTGTAGCTCTGCAGAAAATTATCTTTACTGACAACCAATGATTATTCATGTCTGCCTTACTGTATTCAGTCAATAAAAACACACTGTCATGTAATAGGATTTCAAGTAGCTACACTTTGCTTATGGCTAGCATGCAAAATTAATGAGTTAGGCTTGTGCTGGGTCCAGAGTCTGCACTTTGTATTGTGGTGTTTCAGTCCCTGAAGTCTACATGTCTGAAGTCTACAGTCTTTTATAATACCCTCATTACCTACCAAAATCAGATCTGAATTACCATAATTTCTCATTGGCTCAATGTCTATTTCATGATGAAATTTCTCAGCTATCACATCCAGGAATATCTAGGCTCTATAGTCGGTAATAGCATTTCTACCCTGCTCTGCAATATCTAGGAATTCTTGAGAGCAGGAATAAGATTTCCACAGTCCTTTGCAAAATTGACTCAGATTTAAGAAATATAATTTCTGTCTTTTTTTAGCTTTAGGCTCTAATCCTATCATCTCTGTGGAGGATTACCAGAATGGAGGGATCCGCGTGACGTGTCGATCAGCTGAGTGGTACCCAGAGCCCCAGGTGCTGTGGAGAAATGCCCAGGGGCATCATATACCATCGCTTTCTGAAATAAAATCCCCAAAGGCAAAAGGCCTGTTTAAAACAGAAATTTCTGTTGTCATGAACAGACATTCAAACCAGAATTTGTCCTGTTGGGTCAGGAACAGCCTCCTCGACCGAGAGAAGGAATCAGCAATTTATATATCAGGTCAGTTGCCATCCAAAGCCTCCAGAGACCCACCTCTGCTGGAAACCAAGTGAAACATGAAGCAAACACACACATGGCTAGCATTTCCACAGGGTCATAATAGAGATCCATTGAACTGTGTATTTGCAGCTTATCCGAATCCAGATTTTATCTCACTCTAACTTCTGAAATTTTATCTTAAAGAAACTGGCAGACACAGTCACTCAAAATATCAATGCAGGATGTTTCTGTGCTGTCAGGTTTGCCTACATGAATTTTTAGTGGGTATTTCTTGGGTAGTTTGGTAGCATCTATCTACAAGTATTGAGTTATTTGTGAATTCTTAAAGGCTTTTCACTGCACTGCAACACTGTTCATTATTTATCATGTAAAATTAACTAAGTTGTGTGTTATCACTCCTCTTTTAAGAGTTGTTGCTCCTCTTTTAAGGGGCCGGTGTTGTTTTAAAGGCCTTTTCTGTAGCAGTCGTGTTCCTGAAGCATTCTGCCCTTCCCTACATGCTCAGGGCATTTACAGATGTGCTCCAGGTGGCTGTGGAGCGTGTGCGTGGCGGGGGGGCTTTAATTAGCTCAGCTCTGAGCTTTACTTTAAAGCCCCCTGCTCCCATTTTTCAGCACGGGAACACTGGTAGACGTGATGCTGGAGGCTGCTGGAGCCTGGTTATTTCCATACTCCAGTGCTCCAGTGTTCCATACAGTGCTCCAATGCACTGTAATTACTGCATGTTGCTCACTGCATGTGTATAGGAGCCCTGAGTTCACTGATTCAGGTTTTAAATAGAAATATTTTCCCTTTGCTGCTGCTATGTGTCAGGGTTATTTTGCCTTCCTCCGAACCATTGGGTGTTGCCTGCAGCCAGGCTGGGGATTTGACTGGCATGTGCCAGTGTCCTGCTGGGGCTTCAACCCAGAATATCCTGGGGTCTTGCCCAAGGTCAGACCACTTGACATATTTGGAGTCAGGAAGGATTTTTACCCCCTGGTTAATTAGTATGGACTGTGGAGGATTTATCTTCATCTGTAGCAGGGGAGCACGGCCCTCTTCCCTGAGTCTCTCAAGCACAATATAACAATCTTCAAACCAAAAGGCATTGAGTGCTGTGCCACCCCCCACGCCTGTTTTATGTGTGGCAGTTTAGGGCTTTTTGTCTCGTAGTTGTGTCAGAATTGACTATAGTTTTTTTTGGAGTAGACAATGGGTTTGTATCGTACAGTGTGGATAGAGAAGATCCTACCGCAGGCAGGGGGCTGGACTAGAAAACCTCTCAAGGTCCCTTCCAGCCCTGCCTTTCTGTGCACACTTATGCATGTGCCCAATACCTGCTCCTCTGCTTTCTAATTAGAGTGCATCAGAGTCGACTCAGTCAGTTTGTTGGTTATTAAAGCAAGTTTCTGGTTTTTGCATGCTGCTAAGTGTTGCTGCTGTCATTCATATCTCAGGCAACTCCTGAGAGGAACTATTTATGGATGGCCTTGGCATAAATACATTGGATTTTTTTTCACCAATAACAAAGTAAAGCAAGTCCTGCACATCTTGTTTTTCAGCTTTATTTTTTCCAAGTGTGAATCCCTGGATGGTGGCCCTGAGCGTGATCCTGGTGGTTTTGTTAAGTTTCATAATCCTGAATGTATATCTCTTCAGAATAAAAGGTAAATACAGGGTGGGATATAGTGTTGTTCGTGAGCAATTTTATTCACATAAATGAA